CCCTGAATTAGAGCAACCCAGAAAGTGTTTCAGTGTTCAATCTGTGAGTTAGCTGCGCCCTGACTTTGATCAGCCCAGGGGTTGTTTCAGGGTTCGATAAAACTGATGTGAAGGCTTTACAATGTGAGCCTGTGCCAAGCTGCTACTGGTCGACGAGGCGACGCCAGCATTTGATGCCAATGACTCAGCGCTTCACCAATCGTCGGCGAGCCAATAACCACGCGACCAATCACATCGCTCCGTGTACTGCCAATCAATTTATCAGCCACTGATATGACGAAAATGACGCGGTCAAGGAGATGGACWGGAATATCGAACATCATTGATTCATTGTACACCGGATTGGTTTCTTGTTGTCGCGTTGAGGTTTTTTTCTTTTTAATTTTGTGACCATCAAAAAGTAGGACTACTTTCACAAACGGATCTAAAAAAAATTTAAAAAAAATTTATTCAATTTTGGATCAGTTAACTTTGTACATTCAAATTTGGTGTCCCCAGACGTTTTTAATGAGTAGAATTCATCCAAACTCTCAAACCGCTGAATGGCTTCCCAGCTTTGATTGGATAGGTGCACTTTATTGGTACCATTTTATTGGTTGTGAGCGGAAGCCATTTAAAAGCACCTAAAAYTCATGCGCAGTTACGCGTTCAATTCAATCAATTTTTTTTCTAGAATTGTAGAATGAGCACTTCGCCAAAAAAGGATTTGAAGATAAAGAAAATAGGCTAATGTCAAATGGCATTTTTTAATCCCTAAGTGATGGGGAGTATGGGTGGCGTGCGCTTCTAATACATTGCCTCTAATTACTTTGGTCGTGGATTCTTGCCATCGCATGTAAGTAGAGTTGCTTGTCGTCTTTCTTCCGTGTGCTCCGAGGGTTTTTCTCCGTGATCTCCGTTTTTTCTCCCTCCGCAAAGATTGACTAAATACCAATTCGATCATGTWATATGAGTGCCACAGTTTTGATAGCCATTGGCTATTAAGTGCTACCCACGTAAAATAGGAACACTGTTTTATCTATTTAAAATATATTTAATTTATCCATTTAGAAAATATTCGCATGAGTGGGATGAAAGAATTGGCATTTTTTGATATGCGCTTTAGGTTATATCTAGTCGCGCCAAATATAGACACTCATATACTGAYGCCTTTACAGCGAGCGCTAGATAATAGTTCCTGCAATTAGGAAAMGCTCGTTAACTCAGAACTTAAATAGCTTTATTACATTCCCAATTTTGAGCAGGTGGATCGTATCTGCGTGGGGGAGGGCGAGGGGGAGGGGGAGGGGAAAGAGGTAAGGGGTGGGGGAGGAGGAAGGGAGTGGTTGAGAGAGTCGGAAGCATTCACTAGCATTGGTTCTTCCTTGAAACTTTTAGTGCTTATGCGACGTCGTAGTAATAATCACCTTCATTTAGCGAGGATAGCACATAACAGTTTACACTGACAAACTTGTGGCTCTCCAAAAAGGATTTAAAATATGTGATTTTTAGGATTGTTTTTGACGATTGCAAAATTTACGAAAGCGAAGCCAGTGGAGATTTCATTCAAAACATTGTCAGTAAAGTAAACATCACCGCAGACGACACGCACAACATCATGCTTCTGGATGGGTCATGCATATTCTTGAATGTGCACAAAAGAAGAAGTGATGATAATTTATACATTGTAAGTAATTGTGGGATATCTATAGTTATGTTATTTTTATGTTTCATTTTCGGTGCGTCTAGAATATGTGGTAGAAAGTAGTCAAAACTTACTTATAGTCCTTGGTTCAGATCTCCATTCACTGAATGGTGGATTCAAGTTTCGTGCTTTCATTATAACTATCGACAATCTTTCTGCTGTAGGGAGGTAACTGAGCGAGAACATCAACTCTCCTAAATTTCTGTGATCCTAAGAAATACAACAAGTTAATGCGGTGTGTRCAACCATGTGACTCAAAATCCTTTGAGATATGAATAACAATGAAACAGTGGAATATAGTCCCATTCACAGCACCCAGTGAGCTTGCAATGATAAATACCTTTTTTTTGCAACCTTGGACAATTATTCACATGTCTCTATCATTGYAAGCTCACCGTTCGTCTTGCTTCGATGCAAAGGTGCGGCTGCCTTTCAAGGTGGTGCAGGGAACTGTGAAGGGGACTATTGTTAATGTTGAGCTGGTAAGGGACGGCCATTACAAGAGTCATGGAGGGTGGGGGTTGGGAAAATTATGCATGTGAGAAGAAGTACTTGAGACAGAAATTTAGGAATAGACTATACTCATCGCCGTACAATGTTTTCCCATTTCAGACCACGTGTCATTCCCTTAAGTATAAATAACTTACCATTAGTGGTTCTTTGATGTCTCTGTCCAAAGCCACAGTCTCATCCATTTTGATCACGTCACCCAGACCAATTTTAATCTCCCCAATCACGTGATGTCGGGAATAGCTATCCACTTCCCAAACAGAAACTTTCAAAATTGTTTCTTTCAGTTCGTTCAGCTCGACGTTAAAYTGAAACTCCTTATCGTATTTAGGATTGAAATTTTTCCTGATGATTTTTGTTTGTCCTTTGTTAAGGTCGTTAGGATCTGGTTCGAGTTTGACMCGCACGTAGGAATCTACTGGTTCCCAGAAATCTCGTCCAACAAGATTACRACCTTGAATTATGCGAAGCAAAAGGATTTTCAAATTTSCTTTGTATTCCAAAGAAAATTTCARGYTTCCTTTTTCTCTGCGAGGACTCATGAAACTGGCAGTTCTAACCTTCAAGGTCCCGTAGGTGTTTGACTTGTTTTCGTGTACACATTCAGGACACTTGTCTTTTGTATTTTTCCATKGATACTTATTGATTTTCTGTTTCCTCTTCAGCAAAGAATCGTCCTTATACTCAGGACCGTTGCTTTTTAGTCTTCGCAGTTTACATACCATACAAACGACCATTAATATCAAAATAGCAAGGGCTCCGCTAACTATCCCTAACTTGGCTTCCTCTGTTAGGCTGAGCATCAGCATGAGATATTCAGCGCTTTAGAGACACTGGAACAAATAGGGAATAGAAATGGATTTTTTGAGCTAAGTAAGATATATTCCTGCCCTAAACAACAGTGCTAATAATATATATTCGTTAATTATATTCATTAAGTTTCTAAATGATTAAAYATTTGAATTATCGACTCCTAATCATGTTAATTCATTAGTGAGTGATTGACGTAGGAAGGCGCACGCGCATTTTGGCGCGAAATCTTCCCTCCCAATCCACAGCCATCGAAGCTGATTTAGTCGCATGATGCATTTTGGCTCATCTAAATGTGGAATAATATCGATTTATATTTCACATCTCAAAATGGCAAGGAAATAAAACCATGGAATTGACCCCATCCTTTGAGTCAATCACAGGAACGCAAGACAAWGAATCATCCAATCGGACACAGCCGCTATAAGACTAATGGCACGGCACGGTATGATATCCCTTGACTGCTTTAATTTTGCCTTTTTAAAAGTCATAAAAATTGCCCTAAAGATGCTTTATATACATTTTGTAGTAATCTTATTAATATGTGGTTTAATGCCTGCCAACACTACTGCTCGAGTTTCTTTACGATATTTTAGGACCGTGGCTGTTGTTCCTGCCCTTTATTTATGATAAGCCCACGAGACGCCACCGACGTAGCAGATGTGACAAACAATTAAGCTGCCATTCAGACGTGGGGGTCATGTAAGGTTCATTACTGACTGTCAGAGWGCTAGAAATACAATCTAAGTAAGTTTGGTCACAATATGAGGACAAGTTCGCGCAAGACTCTAGTAACGTAAACGATCTCTCAAAAATAATAATTGAAATCACGAATTAAAACTGGAAAAAAAATGAATGAATGAAAGAAGATAAAATGAATTGCAAAATAAAAATACGAAAAAAAAATTATTATAAATATATTCTGCATAGTTGATTAGAAGTCTGTTAGCAAAAAAGATGTAACTTTATTTAACTTACATGAAGTTGATTCATCTAGC